ATAAGCGCTCAACCTACAGGAACACTCCGCCATCAGTCAGTTCACAACGAAGAGAGCTGTAAGATTTGTCACCTAGGACATCTTAGAGCATGTAGCCGTATCCAGCAAATAGACCCCAAAGCACGGCGTCAAGCCATTATTCAAGTAGGAGCATGTACAAATTGTTTGTCTACAGCTCATAAGGTTGAAAACTGTGGATCACCGACCATTTGTCGAGTCTGCCAGCAACGGCATCATTCACTGTTACACCAAGGACCGACTAGCAATCCAGTGGCCGGCGCAGTAACCATTGCAGGCTACGACAACATAGGAGGATATACTCTGCTCGCGACCGCCAAGGTCTCATTACAAGGGCCAAACGGTCAATTACAAACATGTCGCGCTGTAATAGATGGTGGATCACAGGTGAATCTTATCTCAAGGAGAATGGCAGGTCTGCTGTCTTTTAAGGAAAGGTCACCGATTAAGATATCTGGAATCGGAGGAAAAATATCAACAGCAAATAGATCAACACTAAAGCTCTCATCAGTTACATCAGGGGTTGAAAGACTATTAGAGGAATTTATTATGCCCACAGTCATTACAGACCAACCGTTAGTACCGATTGATACCGATCTTATTATTCCCGGGGGACTGCCGTTAGCAGATCCTGACTTTCGGCAACCTGGAACCATTAATCTAACCTTAGGGGTTGAGGTGTATTCTCGCGTAATAACCGGTGAACTTCTTGAACTAGGACCTAATAAGCCTTTGGCACAAGGCACTAGGCTTGGTTATGTAATCACAGGTTATTTCAATAAAGAAACCTCATCTGATACGGAAATCAACACTATTCTGGTAGAAGGCAGATGTGATTTTGCAGGACCGAACGCTGCTTATAAGCCAACAAAAGATAAAAATCGGATGAATATAGAACCGACTTCTCATCAATTTAAAACCTACAAGAAGGCTGACTTTGGTTCAACATTTCTAAACTTAACCAAGGAATATCTTAGTTTTGTTGCAGAATGTCCACATACCATAGACGTGCCAAATGATCAAGTTTTACGAGGGCACAATTTCAGTCCCCACGGTAATGTCAATTTTATCGCAAAGGAGGGTAATAGGAGGGAGGTAATAGGGCTCGTAATACACTAGCTCCACTAGCAGCTAACCTAGGTTAACTTATCCTCAGCGCAGTTCCGTATCGCCTGTGGTCCGGCATCGCAGCAACTATCGTTACCATTGCCGCGACGCGATCGTCCTGCCAGCAAAGCGTCCCCGTGCCAGCGAAAAGTGCTCATTACCCCCTTGTCCCGCGGTGTGACCCGGAAGTGTCTACTTCGGTAATGCACAAACAGGTGGGTTTCTTTTTGCATTGCCTCCTTCAATGAGTACGCCGGAACTTCGAAAGGGGTTGGTTCTATCCCGGTCTGTAGTCCCCGTCCTGGGAATACCAGCTGCCTCACACTCTCATGTTAAGTCGCCATGTGGGTTAATTGCTCCAGCGTGTCGAATTCGTGGCGTCCTATATACAGTTTATATTCTGGTGCCATATTTTCGTAGATCTGATAGAGTTCTTCTTCTTATTGGGATCCGGCTTGCTGCATCTTGGTCCTCAACTCGACCAAATAGTCTTTACATGTCTCGTCCGCTCCCTAGAGGTTCGCTCGGATCTCGTCCTCAAGTCGCTCAAAGTAACGTGGGGGCAGGAAGCAACTCTTTAAGCGGCTCGTGCGGGACCATCATACTGCCCTACCTTCCAAACTTTCTGACATGCCGCTAAGTACCTCCTCCTTGTGAATTCCGTATGTTGCTATTTTCTCCTCAAGTTCGGCGATCAAGGTCAACGGGTCAGACGTTTCGTCGAATCGTAGATTCCGTTTGTGCATCCACTCGGCTAGTAAATGTCGGGACAGAGTGGCGGTTACTGGGACTTCAGAATCTGGCGGCTTCGGCACGCCGCGGATTCCGTGTGGTGAGGCGTTGAGATCCCGTGGCGTGCCGGGATGGACTCCTCGATAACTTGTCAGTCTACCGTCTCTGGAAACGATCCTGTACTCACAAGTGCAGCAAATGCCTTCTGCGTTTCTGCTACGGTGACGTCGGCGCTGAACCCGATCTCGAGTGCTAGAGCGGCTAGCTCATCTTTACGGCGGGCATAAATCCATCGTACTCCTACGCCCAGGTTTTCAATCAAATCGACTTCTTCGTACCCGCCGTCGGACTCCTTCGTATCAGCCATGGTTTATTGTATTACACAAAACTCCTTCCTTTTTACTTTTCAATATCGATTCTCTATTCTTTCCTTCTCCTCTTGCTCGTCGCAGTCCTTCGCTTCAGCTTGCAATTCTCGAAGGATCTTCGGGGTTATGATGGTTTCGGAACGCTAAGTCCATTCCTGATGGAAAATTCCAAGGGCTGGACCTTCGGGCGAGGTTGCAGCCGGATTTTATCGTGATTTGCCGGCTAGAAGCAAGTTTGATTAATTATGTCGGGAGGATCTGCCGTCCCGTTACGATGTAGGATTGGTGGGACGAGTGAGAGGATCTGCCGCCTCACCGGGGGAGTTAGAGGGACACGAAGGGTTCTGCCACTTCGCTGTAGAGCGTAAGTGGGAGTTTGGGGGGAATATATATGGATATAGCGCAAATACCTCTACCTCGCTCAGCCGGATTGCCGGCCATCGGCATCCTAAGTCAGTTGGGGAAAAGGGTTCGTGGGGATAAAAATAATAAACACTGAGACCACCTTTGTCGGTTTGCGTATACATATATTTCACTTGTTTTCATTCACTGTCACCCTTCTTCGAGTTTACATTGTATAAACACATTTTGTTTCACAAACACCTTGCGTTGTTGCTCGGTCTTCTGCTTCACTGCACCGATTGGACTTCTTGCGCACTAACCTTATTTTCCTACCGTCCGCGTTCTTGCCCCCGCGTGAATATTTTTCAACCTTTTGTTTTTCGTTGTCCGCGTGCGCGACCGTCTGCCTTGAGGTACGTGAGAAGAGAGAGCCGGAAGCCGCAGTGTGCCCCACTAGTAATCCCCGGTCTTTTCCTTGCAAGATCGGTATTTCTTCTAATTTTCTAGTATATTCCTGTATGGGTGCCACCTCGGGCGGATGGTGCGGTACTAAGCTTGGCCTATTCTGGTTCAATACCCAAAAATCCCATCGGTTCGCTTTCCGACTATTAAATAATAATACTTCATTTCATTTCTCTTACTTAAATAACTAGTTCATATAAGTATTGTGGCGGCTCAGCTGTCAGGCGGGATCCTCACACGTTTCCGAAACCGATCCCTGACCTACAAGACTTTTCTGGGCACTAACCTAATGCCGCTCAACTGGTGCTCGGCGAAGACAGTTCCAGCAGCCATCCACCTCGTACTCACTCGTATCCTCTTCAGCCTCAAAGAATAGGGCCTCGCTCACTCTGGGCTTGTCCCGGGGGCCAAAGCTCAGTTGCTGTCCATATGAGGCGCGTTCTCGTCGTCCGAAGTTGCTTTCGACCTCGATGCAGCTCGTCCTCTGTTAGTATGTCCATGGCGTAGACGAACCTGGCGATGCCTTCTGACAAACCCTTTTTAACGATCTTTACCAACTGTTGCTCTGGCAGTGTTTTTTTCGGGAACCCTTTACAGGATGTTGCTCCCGCTGCAGTTGTTCTTGCAGCCACTCGTGCTCGGTTTGGCTACCTCGAACCCGTCCATCACCGAAGTACGCAACTGGGACCACCGATCCACCCTGCAGTGACGAACGTGGTCCCAATACCACTCGCGAGTTCGTCCCATGAGCAGTACGTGAAAATGCCTGAGCATTGGTACTACCGCTGCAAACACTCCACCACCGAACACGAAGTCCTCCACCGAGTTGCCCACCGATGGACATTGGGGACCGCATTCCGAGGATCCTGGCATGGAATCCGTGAAGCTATCGGCTCCGAACGCTGCTGATACCGATCCGAAAGGTTTCCCAGTGGAAGCTGGGGCCGCTGATCAGCGGGCTGTAACACCTCTTTCATCAGCTTCATCATTTCCAGGTAACCATCCCGGATTTCACCCCGTAAGACTTGGCTGGCGGAGTCCTGGGCAAACCCACGGATATCCGTGAGGGACCAGACCTGGCAGTGCCCTCGTCCAAGGACCACAAAACCTCGTCTTTCGCGGCTGAAGGAACAACCGAACGAAGTCCATACCTGTGCTTGTTGTTATATTTGCCATTATATTTTCATTAAAAGAATTGTCATTTGTTATAAGGGCCATGGGCAGATCTTTATTCAGGAATGGTGAAAATATGAATGCATTACAGCTAGCTATTTGCGGCTGCGCTGCCTGCAAGCATTGGCAGCGGCCGTCATATATATATCGAAGTATATGCCCGCAATTGTATTTGTGCTGGTAGCACTGAGAGCGCGAGAGAAGTTGTACATGCATGCCTTGTATGTGTCTGCACTCAGGCCATGGGAATATGCTGACACTAGCGTTTCCCATGGCCGCAAAAGTTTAGCGGCCGGCACTAGTGTATTTGTTTAAGTACACTGTAACACAATGTTGGTGTCGGTACAGTGGGCACTCGCTACAATGATACATCCTCCTTTTGAAAAATAACGTAATTCTATGAAGTTATTTTCTTACTATATGTATTTAAAATATAAATGAACATCTTGTTTTATAATAATATATATATACATTTTTTTTGAATGTGTTATTTATTTAATTTATTTTTTCTTTTTCGAATCAGAAAGTATTATTTATTTTAGTATATATATATTTTTTTTTTTAATTTTGTATTATATTTCATTAAATTATGGTTCTTAATATATGTATGGCCATACGTGATATATTCAGGGAATCAAACCGAAACTTATTTCGGTTCCGGTTCTGGTACCGGTCCCATACCGAATCGACTTATTCGGTAAACGATTCAATTTTGGTATTCATGTTTTGGTTCCGGTTCTGGTACCGGTACGTACCGGTACAGTTCAATTTATTATGGCAATGAATACATTGAAATGATTTATGTTTTATTAAGAAAATAAAATCTTTATTTGAAGGCACATTAATAATAGTTCAATGGATCCAAAATCATACAGATGATTATACTTATAATGATAATAAATTTACGAAAAAACGTTAATTATTTGGAAAACATGTGATTGGTTCTCAAAAGCCCCAAACGGTTTCTGAGCGGATTCATGATAATCTTAACGTTGGAAAATAACCTCTCTACGCTCACTTACGTAGCAGGAACACATAGGGCCACTTGAGAAATTGTAAACAACTCTTTTTTCGGAAGACTCGGACCAACATCTAATAATGTCTGTTGACTTGGAAAGGCGCCATTGTTTTAGAAAAATTTGTATTGATTCTAAAAGGCTGCATGTAGACATACATGAAGGTGAGCCTTCAGATCTTGCTTCTTCCAATTTTAGGTATTTATCAACTTCGTCGGAGCTTTCTGAAAGGCTTGTTTCTAAACTTTTTTCAAGAATTGATATTAAATTATTGGATATCGATAGAATTTGGAAGTAAATATTGGATAATAGACTAATACAAGTCTGTTTTTGATTTTTGCTTAGGGTATTATTGAATCTGGGATCTAAGAATATTCCACACAGAAATGCATTGTTTTCAAATAATAAAATTTCACGATCTTCCAGTGCTCTTAACAAAAATTTGGCCAACTTTGAGTTATTTTTCTGCACGAGTAGCTTACAACTAATTCAAATGTGGTAAAAGTCTCCGAAAACCAAATTTTGGCTTTGAAGTTTTGTTGTGGCAACCTCAGCTGGCTCTAATAGGCTTTCAATTTCGCAAATTGAATCCCAAACTTTTTGATCCAGATATAAATCGGAATTAGCCACTGCATAAGTTGAGCAAAAATGGTATACTGCATCTTCTACCAAATACGCTAACATTTTGTAGGACGAGCTCCAAAGCGTAGGACAATCAATGGGCGGTTTTCTTAGATTTTTCTCCTTCAATTTTTTGACCAAGTTCCTGGCAAAACCAATTGTTTTCGAACAATTTTTGTCTGTAAGTACCGCCGACAGAAGAGTATGTGCAACACAACGAACACCTAAAATTAAGTAAATAATAAAATGTCAAGTATATAAACCGTTTTTAAATATTTTGTAGTTTCATACTTATGCACTTATTTTCAAAATTAACGTCATTCATAAAAGACAAGTCGTTGTCGACATCGGTTTCATTCTCGTATGAAGAGTCGTCGTATAACTCCTCCGGAATGTTTTCGTTACTTAGAAGTTCCACAAACTTGACCATATTCCGTCCATTATCGAATTGATTTAAAACAAAAAGGATGGTGTCTTTTAAATTTGCAGCAGTATGGCAGGCAAACATTTCTTCAGTTGCCAATGTGCGCAGGACAAGATGTCCATCAGTAATAAATTGTATGTTTACTCCTAAATTGCAAAATAATTTGTTAAAGCATTATATTTTTATAAGATTTATTTTTTAGGCATACACACCAATAAACGATCGATTCAGATGAGTCAAGCCGTCGATTTTAAGTGCGATCATTTTTCCTTTAGTTTCTTCTTTTATTTTTTCGACGACCTTCTTTGATTTGGCTACAACATCATCACTGACGTTTTGAGGATTAGTAAAGTTTTCACATCCTAATCCTTCAATTAACGGATTCAGAATCCGCTTAAATCCGATGTCGTTCATTAAAGAAAATGGTCTTCCATCAACTGTGCACAACAAAGCACATGCATTTTGTATATCCTCCCTTGTAATGGACACACGGACAATTGGATTTATGAAATCCTGAATCGTTTTAGGAGGCACACTATTTTTCTTAGTAATTGTTTGGTTGCTACTCCTTTGCTCCTCAGTTTCAATTATCAATGTGTTATGAGATGCTTATGTGCTAGATTACTATAATGCTAGGATTATGTGCATTCATACATATGTAAGTAAGTAAGCAGTTAATTTTTATACTTACTTTAATTTGAGGCCCACAATTCACATCATCTTTTTTGATTAGGCACGTGCTCGTGTTTGATAAAATGTCAAAGCAGAAATACTTTCGGTGAGGATTCGATTTTGGTGGAGGCATTTTTCGCTTTTCCTTACTTTTCTTCACTTTTCTTAGCTGCTTCACATGAAATTCTGTTTAAATTCTAGAATGAAGCTTGATGAAAGGAGACGGCTAAGGTAATCATTGAGACTAGTTATCTCTTTTCTCCATATATAATAAAAAACCGCGTAGAAATGCGCCAAAAATTCCGGATTTACAGCCTGCTCAGACATTTTCTTTCATAAGAAGCACATATGCTAAAAAGAAACAGGGAAAAAGCGCCACGGCAAAAAGTGGGACCTCATATGCAGATTTCATTATTTTTATTATGGATTTTTTATGAATCTAGTAAAGTACCAAAACCGTACCAGTACCAGCAATACGGTAATCAGTTCTAAATTAAATTTTGGTTTTGGTACCGGTACCGGTTCCGGTTCTCTATTAGGAATCGGTTTATTTCGGTAATCGGTTCCGGTTCCGGTTCTGGTTTTATTCCCTGGATTGTTACGTTGGCATATTAGTGCCCGAGTCCTGACAAGGACTTGGGCCGAGGGAGAGGCGTCCGATGTTCAGGCACCATTTGTCGGCATAAGCTACGTCGTATTCGGGTCGTGGGATCTTGGTAAGCCTCTCTTCTCTCCAACATAACGAGAATAAATATTAAAAGTGCCTGGAAAATAATATTAGTCATCAAGTTCGTCAGTCATCAGTCCACACTACCCAACAAGCTTAGCTGTCGCTTGATCGCAATACGATCGGGCTGTGTTTTGGCCATATTCCCTCCCCTACACACATTCGTGTGCCAATGGATCGTCGCGGGCCGCGCAATACGATCCCCTATTGTCAAGGTTGTCCGTCGAAAGTTATGTCGTTGTTCTTGACCTACTCCACTCCACGCGTCAGCACACCCCCTTTGTTAGAGTTCTAGCACACCATGGTTTCGAATTCTTTTTCACATTATAAATTTATTAAATAATATTTAGGTCGGCGTGCGCCGGTGTTGAATAACATAATATTGGTTACTTCATATAGGAAGTAAATTAATTGACAATTATTTTTTTAGCGGAGAGTATCGATTTTACCACCTGTGAAGGTGCACACATCAGCAAAATGCTGACCATTCACGACTACAAACGTCGCTCAGAGGGCTCTTGCAATTGTACATACAATTACAAGGCCAATACTCGCCGCTGAAAATTAACATTTGATTATTATGTATAAAAAAGGTATAAAAAGAAAAGTATATCTAAATGATTATATATATGAAACAATTATTATATGTGGATATTATATATTATTACATGTATTCCTAACAGATTAATTCTTTGTCTTAACTAGGAAAGTATTAACATTGCCCAAAAACAAATTCTTATCCAGACGGGAGAGAACAATGACCGTTGGAACGGTAGAGATAATGATAGCTTTTTCGGTCTTATTACAGTGGGCAAGTGGAGAAAAATCTAGACGGAAGGTCTCAATATATAAGTATTCCAATTCATTCACTGTTATTGGTAGGGTCGTTTTTGATAACAAGTATAAAATTCTTACGTTAAATTGTGGATCAGTGTCTATTGTTTTTGCTAAAGCTTCTGATATAATCACGGCGCTCGGATATATATATATATTCATGTATGTATAAGAAACGGAACCGTGTTCCGACAAACTTACCCTCTTTTTAATCCTGGGCGATGAGATCTCGACGCTCCGGATCCTGGGCTTTGGGAGATTTTATAATTGGTTCATATACAAATATACGTGCAAGACTTGATGGCAGTTTACAAAAACAAAACACAAAAATTATGCTACACAAAAAAAATAACACTATCGCTGTATAGATATGTATGTATGCATGCATCGTATGCGAGTTCCACTGCGGCGCACGTCGGTTCCAATACTCGAGCTGGGGGCTGGTCGGTGCAGCTCCAATTTCTTGTTCAGCGTATGTAATTGGGGGTTCTGTTTACACTTGCATTCAGAAATGCATGTACTCGCAAATTGTTTGTGATTGTTTTTGGCGATTCACTTTTTGGTTTATAATATCGGAGTGCAATTTATTTATTATTATTTTATTGTTTCTTTTGTCTTTTTGCTGCTTCACTTCACTGTATCTGCTTGGCTTATGCTCCAATGTGGGCATGATGTTGGTCGCGGCGTCTCTGAACAGAGCGCTTGTAGTTCTTTACAACCTTAAGGATCACTATAACCAGGAGTAGTCCAACGATGAGCTTAATGGTCTTGTTGACATCTTGAATATCATCTTGGTGGTCAACAATCTCTACTGTGTTAATCACATTGGCGGTGCTGCCGGCCACTTTCGACGTTTTGCTACTTATCTTGGGGTCCTTAGGCCATTCACTTGGTTTACTAGTTCTTTTCGTCCTTCGGGTTTTTGCAGGTTGACTTCCTCCAGGTTGTGGTCGATCGCAGGACCGGTTATCGGGACTTTCTCCAGGGTGAAGTTGATCCTAGGGAAACGTCAAGACATCCTTCTGGACACCAGCCTTCTTCCAGTCGTGGTCTATGTTGGTGGGAGTTGTACTTCTAGACCACTGTCAGGGAGAGATCAGAACAATTTCTGTCTGACTTCTCTATTTGGCTGGGGTCTTTTATACCGGACTAGAGCTTTCGCTAGTCCCCCATATTGGATGTACTGTTTCTCTATTTCCCCTATTTTAGGAGTCAACGGCCGGCTGGTGCACTTTGCCACCTTACTGGAGTACGGTTACGAGCAGGTCGATCGTGGTCGTTGTTCTGGCCACGCGACACCCATGAGCTGTCGATTTGTTTTTGCTGCTTTGCCCTTATCAATCGGAGTGTGGTTAGTCATTAGGGGCCCCTGCCCTCAACTTATGGCAGTTGTTTTGCCGGGGTTAAACTTGTATGGGGGAGGGCGTACGTAACAGGATATATTTATAGTAGAATTAAAGTGATTATGAAATAAAAATTTTATTTTTGGTTTTTGAAATTACTATGTTATCGTTTTCTTCTATACTTTCAACATCCTATTTTTTATCTAATTTTTTGTTTCTTTTTATTAGATTCTAACATTAATCTAGCACTCTTAAATGCTTGTTCTAGTCTAAACCTAGATTCTTTAGCGTAGTCATCTACGTTATATAGAGGTTTTATTTTATCTATGCTATTAAAATATTGAGGTAAATTTGAAGTTTTACCAAAAACTAACTCATATGGACAATAGTCATGTGCCATAGAGGGTGTTGTGTTGAAACAATATGCGAAGTACTGGAGCCATACATCCCCATCAGTTTTATCAACTGAGATGTATGAGCAGATGAACTCATTAAATGTTCTGTGGCTTCGCTCCACGGTTCCTACAGTTTGGTGATGGTGTGCGGTAGAAGTTATGTAATATGTAATCCTCAATTATCGAATTTTTATATTCTGTTCCCATGTCTGTTATGAACGTCTTCATTGGACCGTACTTCAGAATAAAATCTTCAAATATAGCTTTTGCTACTGTTTAGTTTTGGATTGGTATTGCCACAAGGTATTTAGTTAAATCGCAGATTAGGGTTACTGCATATTCATTTTTGTTCATTTGTTCAGATTTGGGTAGTGGACCGATCGTATCCACAATTACCCTGTCAAAAGCCATTTGTGGCGTTTCAGTTATAGTCAATGGTGTTTTTGTATGTTTGGTTGTTTTGGATTTATGGCATTTTGGGCATTTTCTTATATAATTTGTTATAAATCGTGTCACTTTTTCCAATAATAATGCCTTTTTATCTTTGCTATTGTTCTAGCTATGACTGTATGACCTCCTTGTATTGGATCGTCGTGGAATGTAAACAGTAATGCTTCTTTCTCTTTATCATTATTTGATAATAGGGTCACTGGCTTGAGTAGCGCTACTCTTAGAGATTGTAATATTTTATTGCCCATTATTTTACAAGATTCTATTGATATAGTGTCAAAGATCTTTTCACTCGGTTCCAGTTTGAGTTTGCTTCTTTTTCAAGTCTTTGAAAGAACTGACCTAAGTCGAGAAGTCCATTGGTGTACATATCGCTAACATCAATTCTTGCTATAACTTGTTTTCCATGCTTTAGTAAACATAGTGAATCTGTTATACGCAAGGTCATTACTTTTCGTACCTCGTCATTTACAATGACTTCGAATACGTTGGGCTGAGAAGCTTTATTTAGAGTTTGCCTAGGCAAATCTATTTTTTCTTTTTCTTTTCCTGCGCAGGAATTTTTCTGTTTACTTTGGTTTCTGGTAGTGACTGTCAGAAATTTATTATTCGTTTGAATATTCTTTAAATCCGTTTTGGTTATTCTTGAAAGCGCGTCGGCTATATGGTTGTCTTTTCCCTTAAGATATTCCACAGTGAAATCATATTCTTCTAAGTCTAATCTCATTCGCGTTAGTTTTGAGCTCGGGTTAATGGCCTATGGTCTGTCTTGACTGTGAAATGTCTTCCATAAATATATGGTCGAAAATGATTTATCGCCCAGTGGATAGCTGCTTATTCTTGTTCAGTTGTATTTTTGTTGCTTTCTCCTTTAGTAAATGATCTTGATGCATAGGCTACTGGTAACTGTGTGTTATTGTAATCTTGAGTAAGAACAGCTCCACACGCTTGTTTGCTTGCATCTGTTGTTATACAAAATTCTTTATTAAAATCTGGGTATTGTAGAAGTGTAGGTTTCATCAATTGAATTTTAAGGTATTCGAATGCGTTTTGACATTCATCTGTCCATTCGAATTTAACATTCTTTTTACATAATCTATGTATGTGTTATGTGTCGTGAGTAATCGGAAAATTTTTTAATAAAACGTCTGTAGTAATTGCAAAATGCAACGAATCTT